GACACATATATACACAAATATCTTCAATAAAAAATAACACAATTATTGAGTGATCATAAAGGAAAAAAAAGCTATACACATCTACTCTATTACATAGAAAAAAGAACACACATATAGTCAATTTGGCCTCAATATTATCTTGGCTCCCCCTTACAGGAATACCATTAACAAATGATCATTATAAAACCAGAATACCGGTTTTGGAAGCGTATTTGGCGTCAATACCAACTTGTTAGACGAAGTTTACACACGTACTCTTTTAATAAGCAAATATTGCCGTCTGGCAGTGATTAATTTTCACGAGGTTTATTTAAGAATCTGTGGTTTGTCGCCAGATGTTATATCCCTCCTTCCTTCACCCTTCTCAAATTATCTTGCTTGTTACACGAACCGTTCATTCCTATTAACATTTAAACTAGTTGCGGTATGATTACAGAAATATTCCAGATTGTATCGACGATAGTGGATATTTCAGTAGCATTTTTCGTCCAGTGGCGTTTCTTTAAAACGTTAAAACAGCGGGTAGCATAAAAACTACAGAGTCGGTATCTTTAGAAAAGTATAGATATATCATATAAGTAATTTATAATAAGATAATTAAAGTACACACAAACCAACACAGAAAAAAAGCAACAGCTTGATGATTACAGAAGACCAAATATAACATTTCTTCGTCAAATTAAACTTTTTTTCACATCTGTTAAATCTTTTTAAGTTCAAATTAACTCTTTTTAAATTCAAATTAACCGTTTTAAACTATTGTACAAACTAACTTTTTTTAATTTCAAATTAACACTTTATTTAAAACATCGAAAAAAACCTAGGAAACGATATGAAATGTAACGCCGTAAAGTATAAGTAAAATTCTTGCATTTGAAAAGATAATTAATAATTGGGCTCTTAGATGATTATTTCAAAATTAATTACACAATTAACATTAAAATAAAAATATATAACATGAAAATAAAAACGACTATTCTTTTAAGATTTTTTTAAAATAAAATAATTGGCTCATAAAACGCCGCTGCTTTAACCACCTCTAATAAATCGCCAAGAATCGAATCCTGGTTACACGATGTTTGAAAATATGGTGAGATGAAAAAGTTAGTGTCACGAGAGGGATTCGAACCCACCACTTTCGGCTCAATACGCCGCTGCTCAAACCTCTTGAGCTATCGCGACACGGGAAATCTGTTAAGTCGTTAGAGCAACGGCGTATTGAGCCGAAGGTGGGGGGACAACTTTTTCATCTCAACCAAGATCTTAGATAAAAAGTATAATTCTTTAAAATAATTAATAGGTCAATTATGGCTACTAAATACATGTATGGATTAGCATGGATGGAAAAGGTTAATTTGTTAAGTTAAAAAGGGTACATTTAAAATTTACAAAAAGGTTATTTTGAAGTCAAAAAGGATGATTTGACATTTAAAAAGTGATTAATTTGACGTTAAAGAGGGGGCATTTCAAATTTTAAAAATAGTAATTTCAAATTCGAAATGAATTTAATGCAAAAAAGGGTAATTTCAAATTAAAAATAGTTACTTTGGCTTTAAAAGTTTAGTTTGACATGTTTACGGGAAAAAACTATATATTTGACTAATATTGTTTGACTGACTTTAATCAAATTAGGCTTGATAAAAAAATTACATTTAATTAATCAGTATTATTTCAACTTATTCTTATATTTATGTATTTTTTCTTATACTTATTTATGCTTTATATAGGAGTTCGAATTGATATTCATGTAATGTTTAGGTGTTAACCGTCCTAGGACATTATTTCAGATGTGGTTTTAATTATATTTTTGTTAATTTACAAGGGTCATCCCGGTTTTCTCAAAACCCACTCAACATTGTAAAAAATTTAAACTAGGTAGTCCAATAGTTTGTTTAGACCCTTTGTGTCAACAAAACTATAATCACAACCTCAATATATATCGTATAAATCATTGAATAATAATAATCAAATCTGCTTTATTTTAACCTCAATTGCCTTGTCACGTTTGTGTCAAACAGGAAAGTTTATTTTCCTTTGGGCCTATTTAAGAATATTTATTCGTTTAAATAAAAACGCGCCTTGACTTTAAATGCGAAGAAGAGTAAAGCGAGCTTTTGCCGTCATGCAACTTAAAATAGTTGGAAATCTGCGGCAAGCTGTGATGAGGGGCAAACGGACAAAAACAGTTTCAAGCTCGCCCTTTAAAACGAACCTTACAAACTTGAGAAAACGAAGACTGCCCGGGCAAAACAACGCTCGCCTCGACACTACTAATTACAAAACAAAGAGTTTTGGAAATCGACTGGAAATACTTTAAAACTCTTTTTGAGCACTGCTCGCCCTGAATACCATTTTTGTGGATGTCCTGCGAACAATTAGTATAATATGCAATCTGTTAAATATTAATAACTCGATTATAGTGTTAAAAAATTGAGTAGAGGTAAAATTTTCAAACAATAAACCGCTCATCAATTTCTTTTTCTGTTTTACTTTTACCCTTTTTTAAAAGCTAAATCCTTATTTTCTCTGAATCAATTTGTATCACGATGAAACTTCGGAAGCATTAAACTTTTCAAAACCCAGTATCAATTTAAAATGTATCCCTTCACCATAAATTACGTATGGAAAATCGTAATTTGAAAGGTCGAGGTTATTTGATGGGTAGATTAATGATTACTGATTTATATAAGCTCAAATCTCCGCATGTACCGAGTTGATCCTATTACTTCTCGTAGTCCACCAGCAATTCAAGGTTTCGTAATTAACAATAAATTACCGGGAAGTCTCGAGAATTAAATTAACTGGCCCGGGTCTTGGCAGTTCGGGGTCAGACCTCGGTCCTGTCCGTCCAGCTGCCGAGTTTGGGCTCCAAGAGCTATCAACAGCTAGGTAATTTCAGCTCCAAACGCAATCAGTACCTAAATCCAAACTTATTCACACTCTCACTGCCCCTTAAATATATTCTTACTTATTTACATACGATTCACTATGTTAGGGTAGTGGAATATACGATATTCTCATTTGTTATATAACGAAGGCAATTCATTCTACACATTCACATCAATAAATGCATTCCCTTTCAACTCACGCTAGGAACACAAAACTATCATTACTACATACAATAAAACCAACCAGTTTCTTTTAAGGATCAGAACAGGGGACGCAGGTCGCTGCTGTGCTCAAGCATAATTATCATATCGACTGGCATTCCTACACGCTCTCTATATAGAACCAAAGAATTGCACCCTTCAATTAGGTGGCACACATCTAGCACCTACTCGGGCAGTGTTTGTGTGGGAGTTCCAACATCATTACTTTCATTTTTGAAATGAACAGAAATTAATTTCTTAGTCAGATATTTCGGCCAACATATGAATTTAAAAGGAACCGACGAGATACAAAAGAGTAAATTTTAAATAATCAATTATCTAGTTTCCAAATATCTTGATGGTACTATGCTTATGTTAAAAAAAGTATTTTGACTGGTAACTACGTGCAAGTGATATTGAAACTTACAAGATTACTTTAGACCAAAGTCCATATCGTGCAAATCGCACTACTCAGTTCAATATTATGGAGTGACATTAATATTTTTGAAAAAAAATACAAGATAAATTATTTTTTGCGTGTGTTAAAATCAGTTAATAAGTATTTATCCTCAAGGATATTATATTACGTTTTTCAGTTCCTTGAATTTCAGTTTTATGTTTATAAAGCACGATTTAACATATTACCTAATTCTCGTTAAGTGCACAAAATTAGTTCATTTGTGTTCCAACTACTGCCTTGTCCAAAAGAATAGAACTTGGTATTCCGACTTCGCCGACTTTTTTTTTAATCAGCTTAAATTAACATAATGTCCGTGAATAGATTTATGAGTTGGCGGCCGACGGTTTTGACGAAGGTTGTTTGGAAAATAATCATTTTTTTTTATTAATTCAAAAATTATTTTATATGATAATGTTAGACAGAGATAGTTATTCATTATATTAGGTAATTCAATTAATTAAGGTTTTAAGTTGAGATAAAACGGTCAGTGTACGAGCGGGATTCGAACCCACGACCTTCGGCTTGATACGCCGCTACTCTACCACTTGAGCTATCGTGACTTCGATCCACTCCGATACTAACCTCCAATCTCAACCTCGCCTCTCGAATTTTCCCTCCTTTTTGCCATTTTTCAAATGTCGTGTAATCGGATTGGATTCTCGGCGACAAATGAAATGGCCACGGAGAGCTTTAGTGAAGTGTATTTCATTTCAATTCATTAAATTCACTATTTTTCGTGGTCCGCTTGACCAATTAATAACATTCAATTAATTAAGGTTTTAAGTTGAGACAAAAAAAGTCAGTGTCACGAGCGGGATTCGAACCCACGACCTTCGGCTTGATACGCCGCTACTCTACCACTTGAGCTATCGTGACTTCGATCCCCTCCGGCACTAACTTCCCATCTTAACCCCACCTTTTGAATTTTCCCTCCATTTTGTTATTTTTCAAATGTCACATTTGACACTGACTTTTTTATCTCAACTTAAACCCTTAATTAATTGAATGTTATTATTTGGTCAAGCGGACCACGAAAAATGGTGAATTTAATGATATTAGATAATATTTCTACGTTAAGAATATTTTAAATTGTGGACTTTGTTTTATACTTGATTTGCTTGTCTGATATAAGAACTTTCAGCAATGTTTACTTCTTGATAATAATAAGTTTAGAAGCTTCGCATTGTAAGAATTAGAAGTTTGAAGAAATGAAAAAGACTGACAGGCACGATATGCCTCCCCACATGACACACACCTTTGTGGGCAATTCTTGACATCCTTGAAGCCCAGTTCATGTTTATATGACATAGAACTCAAGTTAGTTTTTCCTAGAAAATCCTGCTTTTTAATGGCTCTAAGGCCTATTCAAATATTAAGTTTTACGCTAATAGCGTTCCATCACGTCGTTTAAATAATGTAAAGTCCGATTAATTTTGATATTTGCGTTTCAGAAAGGCCACGTCTCAAGAGTTTCATGAAGATGTACAAAACACCTCCACAAAGAAGGAAAAGGAAGGACGAACTCGACGCGGAAGACGAGGAAGGAAAAACACTGCGAGAAAACGAACACAATGCTGACCCCATGAGATACAACCACAATAACGTAAGTTTTATTTCCCTGGAATTCCGCTTCAGTGAATTCATTTATTGCAAAAATCATCATTTATCTCGTTTTAAGCTTTTATTATTTAAAACCTTATGGGCGATTATATATGAACTCGATATTTTTTTAAAATATTTAGTTCATTAGCACATACTGAAATAAATTTGCATCAAGTAAAAATAAATTTTGTCCAGAGTTCCCTAACCTGTATGGTGTCATTATTTTGAAAATTACATAATAAATGACATAATTATTTAAAAAAAACATTATAATATAATCAGTAATAATCGTTAGGAATCAAACCACACATTCAAATCACGTTATTTTAAAGATGCTTGTCTAATTTCAGACCAAAATGTTATTTATACACAATCCATTAAAATACACCCTCCTTGTAACCTTACTCTTCCTCTTATTGCGTTTTGAATGACCTCAATAAGACACTTCATGTCCATAATTAGCAACACAAGGTTTCTTCAGGACAGCTCAGTTCCCCAAAGTAGTTTAACTTCTTAGGGATAATGAACCTCTTGAAACGAATCATTCATTTGAGAATGAGTCACAAAGTGTAGAGGTTCTGGACTTAGTAGTTTAAATGCCTCTCAAAGTTGAGTGTATTGGCGAAATATTGTAAAAATAATGGCCATAAACGGAAAAATGTAGAAAAATCATACATTTGAAACGTGAGCTGACGTCAGAGCGGGCTTCTCATTGACTTTGTCATGGAACTTCCTTTTGCCAAAGGTTTTTCTTATCGGCATTTCACACAGCACACGAAAGAAACTTTGGAAAGGAAATAGAAAAAAAAATGACGCTTTGAAAAAACACGCTGAAATGCATGCTCTAGAATGGACTGGAAAAAAGCAAAACTATGGGGTTGAATTTGAAACCGAAAAATAGGTTTCCTCGAGAGTGCGACAGGAAGATGCGTTGCCTCCAGTTGATAAGGATTAGTATAAGAAAGGAGAAGTCACAGAAGGAGATAAACCAAAAGCCAGTCCAAAAAGTGAAAGAGTGTTGTCAAACTAGACTCTCTCAATCCCGCGATTTTCTCACAAAAACATTTTTTTAACTATGAAAAAAGGGAACTTAACTAAAATAATTGTAACGTTCTGTTTCGAAAAAATCCTTATATAATTAGCAAAAATCGGTATATTTTTTCAGACATCTTGCTCTTTTTAGTCTCTTGGGTAATTGTTTCGCTAAGTGTTTGGAAATCACCGAAAGTAGTGACATTGGGTCTATAAGAAGTAGGTAGCTTTATCCGGTGCTTTTCCAGCCTTTGCAATCGTTAGGTTATTCCATTTCTGAGAAAACTTTTAATTGTTATTCACTGACCACTTTTATCACGCTAGTTAAAAGCGCATAACAATAATGGGGCTTTATTATTCAACAATCTTGATTCTTTCAGAGATGGGGATGGATAATTTGTTCTGTTCGAGATCGGGAAAAAACATTATTTTAGCACATACCAGTATTATCGCTATAGTTGGTAAATATTTAAATATGAAGTTACGTAAATGAAGAATGATGGATTCCGAATCTATAATGGGGAAAGCGAAATGAATCTACATTTCTAAAGTCGACATCATCCATACAAGATCGTGGAGTGAGGCTAGAATGGAATCCTTTCCTGCCAACTGGCTTCCGGACGAGGAAACGGCCAATTCCTCCGCTCCACACAAAACGTCAAAATTGAAACGTACAAATGGTTTCGTCGACGGTCTCCACATTGGAAATTAAGCCGGCCCATAACAAGGCAAGACGTCTGTGACGGGGCGAAATGTGTTGTATTTGATCTGGGACGTGCTACGTCGACCCGATATATTCGCCGGTCGTACACTTTCACGATTAACAAACGTTCCCTGTGCTAAATTATATAACCAAAAACTTTTTCGGGCAGCCGGTTGGTCATAAAGCCCAAAGGCTTTAGAAAAGGTGGGATAATTAAATTGCCTAAAAGAGAGGAGGATTTTTATCAATAAAACCTGACAATATATCACGGATTAATGGCTGAACCTTTTCTAAACATAATTAAATAAAGATTGTATTTTTATTTTTAACAGTCTTACCCAATGAAGCTCAATGTTTCTTTGTTTAATTAGGTATAAATGTCTGAGTTATATTTTTTCCTCGAAAAAATTGAATAAGTGTAAAGTAGATTACACAGTTTGTCGAAAAAAGTAATTGCTAAATTTTACTGTTATCATGATAATGTATTGATCAATAAAATTAATTTAAATGTATAATTGTCAAACGTTCTGACATTCAGAAAGTGAAATTTTTATGTACAAATATATACATTAAATATAGTGGTTTAGTGTTTCTTACACTTACCTCCAGCTGGGTTGGTCCATAATTCAATTCTTATTAATTACATCACATTATTTTTATGTTGGATGGAAAATATTAGATTAAACACCTCAGTTAACACGCATAACGGAGCATTGGCTTACCACCACTGAAGTTTATTGGCCGGCGACAGCCTGAGCTGGGTTAGAGCAGAGGGAAAAGTACGCGGATAGCAACTTTCCCCTTGCTCACTTCACCATTAACATGAGGAGGAACATGAGTCCAATATCAGCACACATTTGACCGACTCAGACATTGTTACATTTTCAATTTTGATCGTTTTGTGCAACAGGCTAGGTGAAAACTATTGACTCCGTTTTGTTATGATTAATTTTAATTTTCTAACGGCCATAGAAAGTTCCTATACAGTGCATTGCTTGCGATTGTATTGGGTCCGCAAAATTCTGCAGGTTTTCATGTTTTCTTTCAATTACTCCTCTGTATAATAAACAGTCTACGTTTGATGGATTCTTCTTTCGTACGAATGTCAACACTTTTTAATCCTCTTCCAAACAAAAATGTTTCTTTACATAAGTAGCAATTCGTTACTTCCAAATAATTCAGTTGTACTACGTTCAACGCGTGATTTTCGTGTAATTTCGTTTTACGAGTTTAGCCTCGGACAGAACGGTTCATCAAACGACCACAAAAAATGTGCTGAATAGTAGTTCGGCAATGGAGAAAACATAAAAAATGTGATGGTTACTCTTTGGTAGGATTCATTTGGGCTGATTTACTACAGCATCGTGAATCCTGGCGAAATAATCAATGATGAGAAGTAGTGCAGCAGAAATTGACATCTTTGGTTAATCGGAAACGACGATTCTGTTACACGACAACGTTCGGCCCCATGTCTCTCTCACATGTGAAAACACGAAAACTGTTGGATCTTGGTTATGAGGTTCTTGCCTCATCCTCCTATTCTCCCGACCTCTCGCCCACCGACTACACTTTTTTTCAGACACCTGGACAACGTTTTACAGCACAAAAATATATTGATCGAAAATCGTTAGGAAATGCTTTTACAGAATTAGTTAATAATAAAGACTCAAAATTCTATTCACAGGGTACAGGGAAGTTGCCCTCACGTCGAGAGAAGTGTATTGGGAGTGATGGAGGGTATTTTAATTGATAAAAAATGTTTTAAATCATTTATTTAATTGTTTTTATTTTATAACCACAAACCTGCATTAATTTGCGACAACCCAAGGGGATATACATATAATGTTCAGATATATATAGAATATATCTATATCCTCTAAGAGGAAGAGTAGAAGAGATATTGTCAGCGCAAAGAGCTATTTTTAGGTTCTGAAGGTAAGGTATTTTGTTAAAATATATTGTACAAGGAACAGGGGGAACAGGGTCTAAGGATAGAGCCTTGAGGAAAACCAGCAACAATATCACTCGGCTGTGAAAGCGATGATCGAAAGGAAATTGTCTGGATAAGAGGATAGGAGTCGACTAATTTTATTACTTAAGGAGGTGAGCTATATTTCATCTTCTTGCTGATTATATCATTATGCCCAAAGTGTCAGAGGTTTTTAGATGTCAATGAAAATCATTCCAATATGCTTTCTTACGTCAAAGGCTAGCATTACTACATTCACTTTCCTGGCTTCTATGGCAATGGTAGATGAAACCGAACTGCTTCGGCAATGATTCTGTTTTCATAAAAGAAGGCGGCTATGCGCCTGAGCATAACACGCTCATACATAGCTGACAGAACTAAGTAGGCTAATAGGCCTGTAATTGTTTGGATCGGATAGGAACACGCCAAGTTTTAAAATGAGAGGTTTTCGAGTTAATTTGATGTTTGTTAGGAGAACTCTGGCTTTTTATGAAAGATTTTTGAGGAGGATGTTCTGAATGTTGTCAAGGCCAGGGGATTTATTATTTTTGCGGTATTTTATAATTCTATATATTTCTCTGGGACAGGTGAGGTTACATTCAGTAGGCTGATACTGACAGCTACGGATGTTGCGTTGTATTTGGCTGTCTATTTTTTATTGTGGGAGGGATTACCCTCGAGTTATAAACGTACATGTTGTTAATTTTTAAAATATTACTGAAAAGTTAAGCAATTCAGTTGTTCAGTTCCGTTAGGCGTAGGTGTGAAAAAAATATGGAAGGAGCTCAGAGGAGTTTTAAACAATCAACTAGGGCATGTGCAAACAATTCGTGCCGTTGCACTAGTTTCTGTATACCTGCTTGTTATTTGCCTTATTAAACTTGGTATTCATTTGATAAACGCTTTGGGAAAAGTTCAAGAACGGCTAGGACGCATTTGGGACTCCATTTAATTTCCCCCTTAGACAACACTGGGTTAAAATAAATGAATTAAAAGGTAAATAAAGTTCGGATTAGGCGGGTTGTATTGAAAAAATTTTTTTCACCGTCATCCGGCACCCTTTCCGCATTTGTATTTATTCAGAATTGCATAACCGCGTCTGAGCTTACTTTAGACAAATCAATATCAATCTGTTTCCAACAATTTTTTATCATTGAAGCGCCTGTGTTTATTGAGGTGCTTTTTTATAACCAGAATTGTCTCAGTTGTATAATTCAATATAAATAATTTCGCTTTTTATAATGGAAAATTCGAGAGATAAAATACAAAGGATTTGCCATTGTCCCTTCACCCATTGAAAATCTGACGATTTCACTCATTGGTTGGTTTTTTTTTCTGTATCGTATCAACCGAGTCCAACGGATATCTTCAAAATGATTTTTTATACCTATTTTTAATTATTGGTCTTAGCGGAATAGCCAGTGTGTCTCTTTTACCAACAAAACGCGCCACCAATGCTTAGGGCATCCGATTCGTTTTTGCCAAGCTACCAGTTCTGGGTTCATATTCCGGCATAACCCTTGAAATTTTTATTAATAAAAATCTGAAAAAACATTGGAAAGGTGGCTCCTCGTCTGCGACACCGATCGGGGAGTTGGACGATAAACCATCCTGAATGACGAGAATTATTTTAAATTTTCCAAAAATTAGCTGTTGATTAATTAAACTTATGGTCTTGATGTTTATCAAGACCATAATGCGCCTGACAGGCCAAGTACCAAGGAGAAAGAGACCAGGATGAGCATAAACGAAAGTTTTCATGGTGGCTTACGTTTCTTCAGTTGTTAAATTGATAGTTTTTAGTTTGCACTTTATTAAACAAAACAATTTTCCTTTGAACTGTGTAACCTAGAATAATTTTTCTTCATTACTTTAAATTTGATTTCATTAAAACACTTTTAAAAACAGTTAAATAATTATTTATAACGGACTATCTGTGCCAAGTCTTAGCAGTTTTTTTTCGAATTATAATGTAATCAAGTCGCATTAACTTTAAAGTCTGCCCGCTATTTAGAATCCGGGTGGATTTTACTAAAAATATGTTTATTGACACAACCTAGAGTTTTTGATTTTTAAAATAGAATGTCTTTTCATTATAATCTTATTTCCCCCATTTCCAAATATTTAGACATTTACGTGTATAGGAATGTTTATTTAGAGTTCAGGCCAAACGATTCGGTAAGGATCAAAGGCTTTGGATTACGTCTGTTTTGCTGAAACCCTTGTTAATAGTTATTTTATTTGAATATAGGTCCTTATTGATGATATTTTCCGACAAAGGTATAATACATTATAGTTGGATTAACTGATCCCAGAAAAATCCCTATAGGGTAAATATAATTTTTTTAAAGACTACAACTTTTGTAAAAACGGTTAGCGGGGTTTCTTTTGACTCAACTGGAACATTCACGTATAACCTTATGTGAGTTGAGATATCAGCTTAAGGACAGAATGATTTTCTTTATAATGATTTCTATTCAACCCTATACAAAGAATCTATTACAGAAACCAGAAATTACAGAGCAATAGATTTCCTCCATAAAAGTGTCAATAAACCAGTACAGATGGTTGGTTTAATAAAATTTGTTTCTTGGATTTTGTACTAAAAGCTTTAAAAAATCTATTTTGAAACCATTTACCGATCAAAAAACAAATGGCAAGGTGTTTTAGCTACAAAATATTATTTCGTATGTTGAATTGAGGATGATTTGGATAACATTTTTTTTTAATTATAAAAAACTTACCTGGATGGGAGGTAACCTTTGATCTCCTTGAATAGCCTTATGTAAACAGAAATCACTGGGATTGTTGTTAATTGGTTGGAATTAAAGAAAATCTTAAATTTCCAGAGACTCTCTCGCAGAGCCTTTGACGGATCTTTATCATCCATGGTATATTTCAAATTTCTGAAATTATCACTAAGTTTTAACCCATAAGCATTTTTTAATCAATTAAATTGTTTAAATTGTGCTAAATAGTCTTAAATGCATTCTGGCGTTTAACACAATCGCTCGAAAATCGAAAAAGGTTTATTGGCTTTGGGACCCATGTTGTTCAACAATTAGTAGATACGGAAGGAGACCGCTGTGTGATGCTAATTGCCATTATGGATATGCTGAAAGCCCAAGCCACTTAACTACAATGTCCATTATGTGGATGGATGAGACAAAATGCATTAATAACGACTTGCCAATTTTAGCATTGGCTGAATGCCCTGCGCAGAACCCTCAAATTACCGAACCAACCTTTCAAGCTGTCACAGGATGGGTTCAATTAAATGAAAATTTTATGGGTTTTTGAACGGTCACCTCCATTGTTGTTAAAATTTGAACATACAAAAAGAAGTGGTTTCAGAGAACAATAATCTTTTGAAAAAATGTTTTCATTATTAAAAAAAATATATATATATATATAAATATTAAAATATATATCCTTATATATTTTAAATAATTTTTCCCTTTTGATTGTGAGACAGGTAAGACATATATATAAAAAATCACAGCATTCGAAAAGTGTTGGTTGTTAAAAATAAATTAGCCATTTTTAGACGCTTCTTTTTCTACACAATTTTTTCAACGTGTCAGAAAATAATTTATGCCTTTTTGAAGAAAAAACTATTAAATCAAGTACCTAAAAAATTTAAAAGTCTATTTTTATAAGTGCCACATTTAAATACATTTTTACCCTTAATAAGTTCACCAGTTATTAGAAAAACATTATAACCCTAGATAGTAGATAGAGATTAGGCTGTAAGGTTGAATGAGTTAACACTCCCAATCAAAATTGTCTAAGTTACTGTAAAGCTTTTTTTTTCAGACATGAGGTTTCGTACATACATTTTTTATAATTGGTTTTTACTTTTTTCGTTTTAAGGGGAGTGAGATTTTTGAGAATTTTTAAATTACATCTTTAGAAGAAGAATTGTTTGTTGTATAAAAATGTGCAATTTCTAGAAGCTTTTTCTAAACAATTTTGCTAACGTGTTACACGATAATTTATGTTTTTTAAGGAAATTTCAACGAAACAAATAACAACAAACTTTAAAATTTAATGTTAAAAGTCTGAACGTTTAAATATAAATTTTTACTTCTAATAAAGCCCTCCAGATGAATGAAAAATTGATAATTCTTTGGATATAGATTAGGTATGTTGAATATCGCTAATGAGTTAAGACACTAAATCCAATTCGTGTATGTGTCTGGTATACCGTTTTTTAGACATTCAGACTTACATTGTCATGAATATAGATAGGAATTCTGGATTGACCAATGCTAGATTCCAGTATTCAGAATTTTTGCTTTTATGAATTATGAATTACTCCTTTCATTGACAGACATTCACTATTACTATTTTTATTCTTTTTTAGTTCAGCGCTTGGAACATATAAAGAATTGATTTTTCATTTCACGTTATTACGCGATACAAAAATTATTATGGTTTTGCTCAAGAAAGTATGAGATTCCATAAATTTTCTATCGTTTTGAGCTTACGAGTATCAATTAGTTGGTACTTATTGATCAGCCTTGTTTATTTTCCCAATCGATGACAAATGTCTGGAAGTGGTTGAAGCATGAACTGAAGCTTCTTCTACCACCTCCTTGCCGGTTTGCCTTGAGTTATACATTTTTGTTCCGCCGATCAGCATGTATGACTATTACCGGCAAGAGTGTTATACTTACTATGATTAACAATATCCTTGAAGGCTTCGTTACCCCAAGTTAATCTCCACCTTATTCTTTATGCTGGTATACTCAGATTTAAACTTTCCAAACGAGGGGGAGTGGTTTTTTTATCTTAAATATTTTTCCCAAGGTTCCTGGTAGCTTCAACTATTAGGAAACTCAGTTGGAACCAGAAAAGGCTGTCCATTAACGAAACGATTGAAATACCCTTTCTTTCTTTTGATATTAACTAACTGTTCAATTGAGGAGTAAAATAAAACCAGCGATTTTAGAAAATTTATTTTTTTATTATTTATTTTACATTTATTTTACAAGAATCGTTGTATTCAAAATGTCATTAAGTTTTAATTTCTGAATACAATTACTTGATAAGCTATATTATTTTTAGAATATATAACATAATCAATCAGTTTTAATAGTAATAATTCCAATCATGTTTCATAAATTGGCCTATTCGCTTCAACATTTGTTTTCACTGTTGCAGGTTCAAGGAGGAAATATGCGAGGAAGTTCGGGAAATGTTTCAGATACCCTGATTGTCAAATCTCACAACCAAAAACTCGGACCTGAAGTAGTTACCGCCAACCATAGGATTCAAGAGAGCTGTATATAATCTTAGATGTTTTGTATTATTCTGTAAATACTAAATATATCATAAGTTCTTCTGAACCGTTTACCCTATTTATTTCTAGTATTTTCACTTGATGTATTTAACAAAGTAATAAGAGTTATTATATAAAAAAATTGATTTTTGGTTATTATTAACAGCTATTTCCTGACTGCCGTAGAAAAATTTAGGTTCATTTTTTACGAAATTATTTTTGCGGATACAACTGCCGCGACAGGTAGTGCCACCCCTGGTTTTCTCAAAAACTACTCAACCTAGAAAAAATTAAACAGGACTTAAAACAGCGTAAGTTCTACTTTCCAACATTGCTGGTTTAGCACAATGTCATACAAATTTACTTTAAAGTTGAAAATAATATAAGTACTTAAGGTAAATTATAAATTTAGTTAAATGATAAATAAAAGGATGAAATTTATTTTCAGTAATACCCGCCCCAATTATAAGTTGGTTTCGAAATGATTTTCAACTGTATTCTTAAAATCGAATTAAGTTGATTAACATGTGGTTATATCAACCACATATCCCACCAGCAATTTCCTTCAATGTCCAAAATCCTTGAAACCTACTTATTTTAAAGCGCTTTATACCAATCGTAGATACCCATAAAATCATTGCTTCTAACCAGTTTGGCCTAAACGCATCCTACCAACTCCTTATTACCTCATAGTGAAATCCGAGAGTGAGGTGCGGCGTCTCACAAGGGAGCAATCATGGTCCCATACTTTATATCATTTGTACTGCCCACCTGCTCACCTACCTGCACACTCCTTCATCACCACATACGCAGACAATACCGCAAATATGTCTTCCACCCCAACCCAATCCAAGCTATCTTCAACAACCAAGACAACCTTCAGCTTATCGATGGCTGATGCAAAAAGTGTAGGATGAGGCTGAATGAAAACAACGTACTCAGTGTTCGATCACATAGAAAAAAACTGTACACTGTACATCAACAACAAAAAGATACCGTCCATTCAAGTGAAATACCTAGCACTATACCTAGACTGCAAACTGAAGTGGAAATCTGACAAAAGGCAAGTAGACAACAACTTAATAGAAGATTTGGACACTGTGAACACTTCTAGGACCGTCTTGACGGTCAACACTAAAATAACCTTATACAAGACTTTACTGAAACCACTTTGGACGCACGGATTGCAACTGTGGAAATGTGCCAAGCCAGCCAACATCCAACCTTCAATCAAAAGACGTTAGACAAATCGTCAAAGCTCTTTATGTCCAAAAGTTTCACACCAACCTCTCGAACTATCCTAATTTTACTGATCGAGCCATATCTACACATTTCCATAAGAACCCGCCAGGTCGCCTTAACCAACGATGGCCACGAGACCTCTTTGTCCCTTAATCACACTTACATGAGTGCCAGCATTGGGTGGTGTCTCACGGCATTTGTCCTCCGGGTGGAGTGCTGGCATTAGTGCTATTGCGATGACCGTGTATGAAAAAAGGTTTTACGGTCGCATATGTAATACGTAATTTGTATGTATACGGTGCAAAAGAAAATAATTGTAAAAAATGAATCTACGTAAAAAAATAGGTTACAAATTAAAAATAAAAGTTAAGTTTTTCAGTTTTTATAAGAAAAGCAAAACTGTAATTACTGCAGTACATGAAAATATAAACTAAATAAGCTGGAACTTATTTCTTAACAAAATTACTATTTACATTTTTGTCAATGCTTAGTCGTTTTTGGGAAAACCAGGAGGGACACATATAAGTTGGCACCTTGTATATTGCCAAAGGTAAGTAATAACAGTAGCTGTAACCACTATCCATATGAATCAATAAACAGGCAACAAACGTCACGTTTTAACTGTAAAGATATTAAACAAATAAGCAATTAAGAATATTCACATTAGTTACAACCTTACTATTTTCCCATATGAATGTACAAGTAAGTTCGAATAAAAAAAATCAATTTATTATTATTTATCGACTTATTCGGTTTGGTTGTTTATATTTAAAACCATCAGAAGCTGTACATTCATAAAAAGTCTAAACATTATTACTCAATTCACTCGTTTACAAGAAGAAATTATATTTTACTTTGAATTTCAACGAGACAAATTAGATTGTACAATGGCAATTGGTATCAAAATAGGGTTCTTTAGTTAAAAATGCTTTTACAAGACGAGAATGTTTATTTGAAATCAAAGGAAGAATAATTAGAGCTAACAGTGAACATTTTCAGTAAGGAAAAAAATTGTTATAAATTTGCGAAGAAATATTAGTTTGTACAAAGAATTGAATATAAAAACGATCTTTTACATGAAATTTTAGTGGAAAATGAATCGTTTCGTTTATAACTAGATGATAAAATCTACTCAGCACAATTTAATTTTAACATAAAATTTCTGGTTTAATTGAGTAAAAACGGGGCTGTTTTACTGGAATATATTTTTCATTGTGCTCTAGAGAAATAATCGGCTTTTTTATGGATTCAAAAAGAAAATTTAAACTGCATATCAAGGGAAAAATTGGGCTGTGGAAAGAGTTCTAGTGCCAAAATATTTTTTCAGTATAAAGTTTATATTAATTATTATTTGTTATATGAAAAATCTATTTGAACTATAGGTTCATGAAAATGTTTTTATTTTTGTAAGACGACAAAATAAATTAAGGTTGTAAAAACGTTTTAAAATGGACACTTTGTTGGGTATTGAGGTCCAGTAAAAAACTACAAATCCCGTTGTTTTTCTAAATTTTTATTTAATTTGGAAAATTTATATTTTACATAAGTGTGGTGATTATTGGCCGTTAGTCGATGATTATTCGGAAATCGTGAGATGGGGTCTGGTGTAATGGGGTTTCAGAAAAACATTTTCTTTATCGCGCCAACGTTTCATTGAGATCATCTTCAGGGATTTTCAAACATTGTTTAAATTTAACAAATACATGTAGGATGTGGAAAAACGTGAATTTATACAATGCAAAAAATATTTTTATATTCAATCAATATTAAATACAGTAGAAATACTTTGATTGTACGTATGAAGAATAATATAGAGAAACACATTTTATTTGAAACAAATATTGGGTTCTGATAACATGGAACAAAGAAGCGCATATATATATATATATATCCCTCTCTCGCTCTCTCTCTCTCTCTCTCTCTCGCTCTCTCTCTCTCTCTCTGTATATGTATGTGTATGTATGTATATGTGTGTGTGTGTGTGTTGTGTGTCTATGTCTGTGAGAGTGNGAGAGAGAGAGAGAGAGAGAGAGAGAGAGTGTGTGTGTGTGTGTGTGTGTGTGACTGTGTCTGTATATATTGATAGGCAAAAAATTACACCCAATTGATTTATTTTCATTTTCTCGATAAAAGAAAACTCTGCCCTTAATTTGTCTAATTGTTTTACCAATGATATTTGTTTATGCTAGGTTTTAATTTGGGACTATCAATTATGTCAATTAAACAGGTAAACACATAATCCTTAATCCAAAACAAGGATGAAGAATTTTTCAATGTTTACTTTTTAAGGAATTAAAAATGTTTGTTCAGTCTAATTTGAAATCTGAAGCAACAGACTGTTTAGTTTTCATCTTTATTTCCTTAATTTCTATTTTTAAACTTAAAAATGCCACTTAGTGCTGATAATGCTGCGCGTATTGTGGCACTAATGGACATCAGGTATGCGGCTATTGCCATCGCAGTTCCCTACGAAAAACTGCGAGACGCCGTTAGTCTTTTTCGAGAAACTGGGTCCTACCATAGAAGGCCCGGTTCTGGACGCCCTAGGGTAACAGAACCACAGGATGACCGTTGTTAGATTTTGAGAATTTCATGAAGACGTCACCTTACTGTTGTTAAAGCGATTCATCAGCTCCAGGAAGTTCGAGGTGTCCAAATTTCTGAACGCACTGCTCGAAGAAAGCGGTGAGTATGGACTGTTAGTTTTCGTCCCGTAGGAAGACCATAATTGACCAGAACACACAGAATTAATTCCTTTAGACCCGACCTTTCGAATTGAACAATGGCAAAAAGGAGGGAAAATTCGAAAGGTTGGGTTGAGATGGGAAGTTAGTGTCCGAGTGGATCGAAATCACGATAGCTCAAGTGGTAGAGCAGAGGCGTATTTAGCCGAAGGTCGTGGGTTCGAATCCCACTCGTGACGCTCACTTTTTTATCTCAACCAATATCTTACATGAAGATTAATTAATTGAAATATATTATTAATATTTTAAAAATATCTGCACCCACCCCCAATTCTAAATTTTAAAAAAATCCCGGACCATCAGTTTGATTTTCGCAACTGTCAGTCAGCCGTCCGGCAATGCAACCGTGTTTTGTACTTTACGTTTACCTCAAAGAAGTTAGGGTAGTATTGTTCAGGAGCATTTTTCGATGTAGTACAGGCTTTCGATCGAAAACCGGGCATGCTGTTTTTGCTCAAGCACATACTTCCCACCTAACTCATTCACCGGTACTAACTAGTCATTAAAGGGTTGGAATCCTACCCAAATTACCGTATTCTGGGCAGTGTCCCTCAGGATAGCGTGGCCCCCACATTTTACTAGAAGTACACAGCTGATGCCATCCCATCCTCAACCTCCCTCCCTGACCTATGAAGACGATATAGCGATCTCCTAAAGCAATTTTGGTCAAGGTTTCTACTCAACATTTCAACAACACTTTACACTGCTAGAGTCTTTGTGCAAAAATAATAAAGGACAAAACAGACAAGTCTACCCACGTTATCCTCACTCACCGCCAATCCCTCCTCCAGTTTAATTCGATAATATCTTCTTCTCACTGCAGACACTGCAGACAACTGGAACTAAACATCAAAAAACTTTTTACCACAGGCTAATAAATACAGAGCTCTTTCACTTCTTGATAAACGCTCTGAGTAACGTCTCAAAAATAAAAGGCTTCTTTATAACAATTTGGTGAAGCCAACTTACTGCAGTGTGGATTTAGCCAAACATTCTTCGAATCAAAACTACCCATTCCTTAATTTATTTATTTTTTTTTTAACGAGGGTTCGCAACAGCAGAGGCTATATCAACCCTCGGGGTGTC